ATCCCCCACCAGACCCCATGAAATTATCCCCCACCAGACCCCATCAAGTGTGCCAGTATTCACTGTGCCAGAATCGGCCTTTTATCACTACTTTAGGGTATAATTGGCCTCTTATGCTTTTCCCTTAAGTCCTCTCGGTGAACAATTCGTGATTTTTATTAATTTAATTATTCCTTTCTATCTAATACCAAACACTTTGCCATTATAGCTGTCTGGTGGATAATGAGTGATATAATCCACCCTTAATTGTGTAACTATCCTCCAATCTCGATTCATACGGTTCTGATACTTCTGAAATAGCTGGACGCTCGTATTTTCTTGTTTATTTCACACTATAAAAAATGTTAAATCATGATAGCGTGAAAGAAAATTCACCAAACCACCGAAAAATGAATTATTTGTAGATTAAACGTTAATTAACGGTTTACTGTATCTACAGTGATAGGTCCAAAATGGCGACGGGTGTGGGAGTCGCCATTCGCATGGGGAGTGAGATAGAAAAGCTGTCACCCCCCCGTCAGCAAGTGTACACACCGGAACTGAAAGGCCTCGCGCTACGAATCGTCGAAAGAAATCAAGAAAATACATCCATAATGTGCACAGACTCCCTAAGCGCAACACAGAAACTCAGAGGAAAAGAGCATCCGCAGACCCGTTAATCAGAAAAAATATGAACAACATAAAGCGATCGACCCTGGGCATTCGGGACATAGAGGTAATGAAACGGTTGGTATGTTGGCCAAAGTGGAAGCCAACACGGACTCGCTATGCCCCGAAACCTACTGTGACCTAGCAGCTTACCACAACGAGAATACATTTTGAAATTGATCCTAAATTAGTCCAAAATTTGGTGGAATAATGTTCCAAGTATGAGACACGCGAAGAAATTCGTAGAAGGGCCATCCGCAAAACTTAAAGGGGTTACTGGAAGGCAACTACTACCGAACCAGGATTCTGGTTAGACGCCTGACAAGGCACTGCCCCTAAGAAGGCACATGCACCGGATAGAAGTACAGACAGAAGAAATACTGTGCAGACACTCCCAGGAAGAGGAGGAGACCGCAGAACACGTTTTAGGTTTATGTATGTGTTATTTTTAGAACTAGGAAACGCAAGCAAGATCCCTTAAGAAGCTGCTGGCAAGGCTATGGAGGTTGATTTACAGCATGATTCTGGCCAGTGAGTTATAAAAAAAACAGAGAAGCACAAGAGTCTACTCAGGTCGATGTTCAGAAGGCCTTGGGGCTGCCTCTTTTATCCCTATCCCTATCCCTCAAGGTATCGACGTCGGTGAGGAAAAGGTCATCCTGGTATGGGTTCCGGGACACAATGGTATAACCGGGAACGAACAAGCAGAGAAGGCAGCGAAGTTAGCCCCGATGAGACTACACGCCCCACTCACTGTATGTCCAGCGAATTTACAAAGAACGATTGCAAATGTTATAAAAATATATGAAGAAGCCCTGGAACGAAAGAAACATATCCAAATTACATAGATATAAAAAGACATCGGTTTCTAGCCTGCTAAAGCTGAGACTGGAAGGGAAATGGTTATACGTACGTGGTTGGTCATACCAAGATTACACCCGGACACCTTCTAATGGGAGAGAGACCGCGTAGGTGCCCGTTTGTGAACAGCTACAACACCTTACGGTAGAACATAAAATAGCCGACTGCAAAGAAAGAAATACCACATCCAGAATGACCTGCGCGCGGTCTTGAGGCTAGGGCAACAGGCACAGATCGTTGAGCCAATAAATATATATCAGGGCCATAAATATTTTTAAATGTACATCTTTTTATACATTAAAAAAAATATTTAATGTATTTATTGGATATTTATTGGAACGAATGTATTTATTTGCGTAAATGGTTTATTCCCAAATTACCCCGAGGAATATCGAGTGCTCTGGGGTAGTGTAAACGAAGTCTGGTGTGTGAATGTAATTTATTGGCGTGAATGGACGGGCATATTCCTAAATACCTCGAGGGATATCGATTACTCCAGGGGTCGTGTCAATGCTAACCAGACTATCATGTTTTTTAATCTTATGTCTGTGTTTCTGTGTATTTGTATTATTTTATAAAGAGTTGGTTACCGCTATTTCATAAAACATCATAACTTCGCTGAAGGAAAAAAACTGTGACAGTTTTTGGCAATGTTGGGACTGAGTCGGTCTTTACAGCAATTTGAAAAGCATCTATTAAAACCTTTTTTTTTAAACCTTAATATTAAAAATATTAAAACCTTAATGGTGCCAATTTGTACACATATTTAAGATTGTTTTTCCCTGATGACCTTAAAATAGGTCGAAAACGTGCAGTAACAATTAAATTATTTTCATCAAGACCATACTGAGTTCCAGATTATTTGTAAGTAAAAAAAGTGGTCCATATATCTAACACTGTAAATGAGCACGTAGAATCTGACGGGAAGGACCAAAAATACTACCAAAAAACGAAATGTAAATACAATTTTAATTTAATTTTGATTTTGAAAGTTTCATTGTGATGCTTCACTGTAAGTAGGGGCGTTAATTAAGTTTCAAGGTTGTAATTGATAAGTTGAAACTTGGACGAGTGAGGGACTTGGGAATTTGACGTGAAGGGCGGAATTGCGAGATTAACGAATTAACCGCAATGCCTTCGAGAATATTATAAATCAAAGCTTGTATCATAGCTGTTTAGAAGTAATTGGCCGAAACAGATTGGCGAGAGCGAGGTAGGGCGAAGGGCATGGCCATCATCCTGACGAATTTACAACTTGCGCCATTAACTTTCTTGTCAAATTATTAAATTAAACTGTTATTTCGTGAAACTTGAATTAAACAAGGATTAGTTAGAAGGTGGTCAAATCTCACCAGACGTTAATGTGATGTACGACTTGAAACATTAAATCCTGAAAATCAAATTTGGTAATTTACAAATGTCATGAGCACAAATCACATCCGACGCGTCGAGCTTTACCGCCAGCTCGTTAATTATTTAATATTCGTTTCCTCTCCTATCGGCTTATTAACAATCGTTCTCTTTTTGAAAACGGAATACGAATCGAAAAAACCATCAACTGATAAAGTGTTTAATGAAAAATTAATATGTTTCGTTTTTTGTTTCAGGTTTCCTCGGGAACAACAAACGTTACCGAACCATTTCTACTTCTCAGACTTTGAGAGGCATACCGCAGAGATTGCGACATTTCATTTAGACAGGTTTTTGTTTACTTTATTTTCCTGCTTTTTGCTTACTAATAATGGCTTTAGCAGTGATGAAGGTTTTGTGTCGTTTCGTCCCATTTTATTACAAACTATAATTGTTGTATGATTTATCAGGGTGGCGGCCAGATAATGAACATTCGTTTCAATGAACAACAGCAGTTCATGATTTTTTATTTTCGTCTGTTTCGGACTCATTGTAGTTCATCAGGCAAAATATTCCAGAAGAAATAAAAATTTCTATACATCATTCTACAAAGTGTAGACGGTGAAATTATTATGAAATATTTTTTCATACAAAAAATATGCTGACAACATATTCTTGATCATCAATGAGGAAGTTTTGATGATGTTTTGAGCTCTTTTAATGAATTTCATCCAGATTTAAATTTCATCCTAGAGAAAAACAGAATGGGAGCATACAAAATTATCAGAAATGAAAACTGCACTCTAAAGTTGGACTAGTACCAGAAAGACAGAGACTGGAGAATCTTACATTTCTGATCACAACGTCCCACCCACCATAAACTGAATTCAACTTTCAAGCTAATCCGCAGGTGTCTGTATCTCTCCAGGAAGGAGTTTCACGGAAAGAATTCAACCGAATTGGGGCGCTTCCTAAAGCTCAATGAATAACCGGATGCAGTTAGGACTAGATTAATCAAAGGGTCATCACGTCACCACCAATGAGATATTTCTCCTTCCCTGTGGTCACACAATTTAATCGCGGAGGTGTTCCGGTCAGTCAACAATATCCCACCAAGCTTGGTCCACCAACAACTTTTACCGTACCTTCTACAGCAGACTCTAAGGCAAAAGAGAAATTGAACAAGATTCTAACTTGGTCTATAAAATAATGCTTTTGCTGACAAGTTTATATTGGTGAATCAAAGCAAATTACAAAAAAAAGAGTTCAACAACACAAAAATGGCTTTAAAAAACGGAAACGGATACGCCAGAGCCTTTGCTCATACGGTAAAAAATTTACATGTGGTTATTAAATATAAGGAAATAAGTATCATCAAGCAAGAACCACTGTTGAAGAATTAGACTGTGTAGAAATGTTTGATGTGAATAACGTAATGATTTTTTTATGTTTTGCGTGATGTGGTGATGTATGTATATTATTGATACATAATGACACATCTACAAAGAAAACAACACTTTGAGTGTGTACAAATACTTTGATCTAGTAAGATTTTATACAATGCTAGAAATTTTAGACTAAATCAAAGTATTTGTACTCACTCAAAGTGTTTGTTTTCTTTGTAGATGTGTCATTGTGCATTTTTATAAGTTATACTATGTTTATAAATCCCAAGCCCTCAAGATGATCTCAATAAAGATCGAAACGTTGGCACGATAAAGAAAATGTTGTTCTAAAACCTACGTCACACCAGACCGCATCTCACGATCTCCAAATAATCACTAATAAAATATAATGCTTCACCTGCTACCTTTTATTAATCACTTAAATGTAAACAATAACATAGGCCTCCTTTTAACGTTATTAATTTATTTTTTTTACATTTGAATTAATAACTTGCAACTTCTGTTCTTTTTCACAATCTCTATATGATAAGTGGCTGTACCGGACTTTATCGAATGACGTTTAAAATTTTTTATTTGTATTTTGTCCCTTCTAGAATGTTTTCCCTGATGAAGGACTACAGTAAGTTCGAAACATTGAATCGAAACGAAAAAGTCATGAATTGCATTCTCTGGCCACCACCCCCACAAATTCTCCGTCATCCGGCCGACAAGAAACATCAACGGTACTTTTTGCGTCTAATGTATAGATATTGAAGTACAGATGCCGGCCAGAAATGGATTATCGGGCTACATTTTTGTCAGCCTAGAATAAAGGGCACAAAATGTCCTATTATTCGTGTCACACGGTTTCAGGCAGCCCATCGAGTCTATACATAAAAGCTTTTTCATATTTCTATGAATACATTCTTCCTCGCTCGGAGGAAAATGAGGCGGGTCAACCACATCGGAAGTAAATCGGGCAAACGTCAGCAACCTCGAAAAGATTTGGAAAGGGAAGTTTTGTCCTAATAAACGACCTACCAAAACGCTCTCTTTCTCATCTAGCTGTCTCGTTTTCACCTAGGGCCGGCCTTTACAGGGAAAAATGTAAATTACTTCAGAACAAATGTGTTACATGAGAAATTATATATAGAATCAAATTACCGATGATTAAAAAAATATATTAGCCAAAATTCACCAAATCACAGAGAAACTATACTGTTAAAGGACTATTCTCCAACCTATAAGACACTCTGCAAAACGTAAATTTAAGTATCTATAGAAAAAGAATTTACAAATTTATAAGAAAAATCAATTTTCTTTATCTTGCCACGTTTCGACCTTTATTGAGATCTTCTTCAGGGCCTGGGATTTATAAACATAGTTTAAATTGTACAAATACATGTAGGAGNTCACCTCCTACATGTATTTGTACAATTTAAACTATGTTTATAAATCCCAGGCCCTGAAGAAGATCTCAATAAAGGTCGAAACGTGGCAAGATAAAGAAAATGTTTTTCTAAAACCTACGTCACACCAGACCGCATCTCACGATCTCCAAATAATCATTAGCTAACGACCATTAAACACCACACAATATAATAAAAATTAATAAAATATTAGCCACACAACTCCAAGTAAGGACCTAGCATATGCTATCTGGCATGGTCAAACTAAAAATAAACATGATATAAATTATCGGGTTGTCCGGAAAATAATGCAGGATTTTAAGTTTTCATTAAAAAAAATCTATATAAAATATTCTGTTTACGTTTACAGGATTACTCATTTGTATGAATGTCAACACTTATTAATCCTCTTCCAAATGATATTGTTTGTTTACCTCTGTAGCATTCCGCTACTTGGAAATAATTCAGTCATCCTTATAATGTCAAAGCGAGAATTTCGTACGATTTTCTTTTACGAGTTTAAACTCGGCCGAAGCGGAGCCCAAACGGCTAGAAACATTAACCAAGTCTGGGGCGAGGGTTGTGTTAATGAGTGCACTGTGCAAAGGTGGTTTAAAAAATTTCGGGAGGGAGATTTCAGCCTTGAAGATGAAGAAGGTCGTGGAAGGCCTTCCTCTCTTAATGATGATGTTCTGCGATCAGTGGTGGAAGAAAACCCCAAAACAACTGTTCGAGAACTTGCAGAGCAACTCAAAGTCAGTAAAACGACCGTCGCTGACCACCTCAAGGCGATTGGAAAAGTGAAAAAACTCGAAAATTGGGTTCCACACTCATTAAACGATCGCCAAAAAAATCAGCGCTTTGATGTTTGTGCATCACTTCTTTGTCGAAACAAAAATGACCCATTTCTGGCCAGAATTGTTACATGTGACGAAAAGTGGATTCTCTACGATAACACTAGACGTTCTGGACAGTGGCTCGACAAAGGAGAAGCTCCAATACATTTTCCAAAGCCCCCAACTCATCAAAAAAAGGTAATGGTTACGGTATGGTGGGCTTCATTTGGTTTAATACACTACAGCTTCTTAAATCCTGGCGAAACCATCAATGCTGAATCATACTGTAACCAAATTAATACCATGCATCAGAAATTGGCAGTAATGAAGCCCTCTTTGGTCAATCGGAAAGGGCCCATTTTGTTGCATGACAACGCTCGACCACATGTGTCACGTGTAACGTCACAAAAATTATTGGAGCTTGGCTATGAAACTTTGCCTCACCCACCCTACTCTCCGGACCTCTCGCCTACTGACTACCATTTTTTTAGACACCTGGACCACTACTTACAACACATAATATTCAAAAATCAAACGGAACTGGAAAATGCATTTATTGACTTTATCAATTCTAAAAATTCTGAATTCTACTCAGACGGAATTAATAAGTTACCAACACGTTGGGAGAAATGTATTGAGAGTATGATTAAAGAACATTGCTTTAAAGTAACTAGTTTCTTTTTTTTTGTTTAATACCAAAATCCTGCATTATTTTCCGGACAACCCAATAAAAAATAAAACAAAATATAAATATATCAATAGTAGAATTTAAAAGAATGTAAAAATAATGGACAATAAATAAATCTTAATATAAATCTTAAAATGTTAAGAATTCATGAAATTAGACTGGGACCCGTGCCATCCGAAGACCGTACAATTAGAATAGGGCTTTTCTCCCTTTTTTTCCCATGGCGATGTGCGGTGGTCTGGTCGGTTATAAGTAACACTGGGATAATCTGATTCTTCCCTAATGGACTGGTAGTTAGCCAAGTGCTGCTAAGAGGCTCGTCAGACTTTAGAAGGTTCGACGAGCTCCCCGGTGGGATCGCACACATCCCAGGAGGAGAGGAACCAGTTACCAAGCCAACTCCAGCCCCAGATCGCTCGTTAACCGGAATTTACAGTCAGAGCTGAATCACTGATAAATTCTCCTTGATTCTGACTCCCTGATAGGTCGAAAACACCTATGCCACGTTTGCGACATTGTCAGATTTTAATTTTTAAAAATATTTTCAAAAGACGAATTTTTTCTAATATTGCCATTTACCCATTCCACAGCGTACAATTTGTACATCTCGATAGTTACGAAAACTGTTTTAAAAACATAAACACTCAATGACACTAGGATATTTTACGAAAACAATATAACTTTAGGGATGGTTTTGAAAAAGTTTATGGAAGATAAAAGTTGTACGGTATAGTAGAAGTAAAAACATTGTCTTGGAAGATGACGTGTTTCACTGATCGCGACGTTCGGAAGAATTTAGCGCCTGGGCTGTGTTAAACTCATTAATATTTAAGCAGTCGTAAAAAACAGCCCTGTTTGTCCTTTGGCCTCTCTAAAAGGTAAGTGGGACCAAACGCTTAGGATTACCCAAGTCAATAAAACTCCAGAAATCCAAGAGGCCTGCCAAGTGGTCTCGGCCCAGAGATGGCTGATAAGTTTTCCTCTGCAGGTTCGAGGGAACCATTTAAATTTCCCAAACTCCTTCTGTTTGTCTTCCTCGGCTTAATGGAGCTTTCTCCGTTTTGAAAGTGAAAACAAGTCGGTGAATGAGGAAAGAAAACTCGACCCAAAAGTACGAATTCAATACTAAAGCGGCTTTTAGCCGGGCCCTCTCCTGAATTTTGTTCACCGGTAAAGAAATGGCCCTTCTCGATACACAAGTGGCCGAAATTTCTCCTCCCTTTTCTACATTCATTTTCTACAATTTGAAGCCTTTGAAACAATGGTTCGTCTTTGTTTCTACATCGTTCGAGCCAAATACCGTTCTCCTTGCCATTCAGTCAAAAAAGTAATTTCGTACAATCAACGGATAAATACAATTATGTTTGGTTTTACCATAATTAAATCATCGATGTACCGTTTTTTCGCAGATTCCTTTCATAGCTAATAGATCAATTACCAATCCAAATATTTCAGGCCTTGAGTGTATATTATTTCCCTGATCGTCATCGGACATCGGTTAATTTCAAAGTTTGGAGTGTTTCCATACGATTAACAGCCCATTGGTATTTTAAAAACTATCTGTACTTCCAATTAGCTGATTATAAGGAGGATTGGATTGGTGAAAATCTTCACCCCAGAGAGACGATCGGTAATGGGAATTAAATACCGTCAGATTGCCCAAACCAAAACTATTTTACCCAATCGTCACGTTTTACATTCCTTTTACTGCGCCAAAATTTACAAAAATTTGATAGAACAAGCTGGAATAAATTATACCCACAACAAATGTGCAGATTAATAAGTACTAAGTCATATTCATTACTGCGTTCTGTGAATAAAGTCCCACTTCATTTAACTTAAGCTCACTGCTCCATCGTCCAGGTGTAACAAGGGGACGACCAGTTTATTGGATCACGGATTTGGACCAAACTATTTTTTGGTAATTTTTACACTTTAAAATATCCGACGCCACTTCTTGTGAATTGGCCATGGTTTTGCCAAAAAATATTGAAAGTTGAAATTTTTCGTTTATTGCTCCTTTCCACTTGATCAAATCAAAAAGTGAATTTATCATTAGGAGATCGTGAGATGCAGGTTTTAGAAAAACATTTTCTTTATCATGCCAACGTTTCGATCTTTATAGAGATCATCTTCAGGGCTCAAAGTGTTTGTTTTTTGTGGGTTTTTTTTGTGTGTGTCGTGTGACACAAGAATGACACATCTACACGGAAACACTTTGAGCCCTGAAGATGATCTCCATAAAGATCGAAACGTTGGCATGATAAAGAAAATGTTTTTGTAAAACCTACGTCACACCAGACCACATCTCACGATCTCCGAATAATCATTGACTAACGGTCACTAAACACCACACATTGAATTTATCATTTTACAACATTTTTTATGGAGCTTGCAGTATAAATATAGTAAAAGCTTCAAAGTTTATCAATAAAAAAAATTTCTAAAAACCAAATATTTTTCAAACAAACTAAGTTCCAATTTTTCGTTTATTTCCCCTTCCTACTTGCTCAAATCAACGTGTGAATTTATCCCTTTACAGTATTTTTTAAGGAGCTTGCAATTAAAGTATAGTAAAAAGCTTCAGAGTTCATCAATAATCAAAAATTTTCTAAAAACCAAATATTTTTCAAGCAAACTAAGTTAATATTTTTCGTTTATTTCTCCTTTCTACTTGCTCAAATCAAAATGTGAATTTATCATTTTACAAATCAACATGTAAATTTTTTATGTACCTTGCAATAAAAGTATAGCAAAAGCTTCAAAGTTTGTCAATAATCAAAAATTTTCTAAAAACAAAATATTGTTCAAGCAAACAAGTTATACATTTGTTTTCGTGAAACTATGTGAAAATGTGAAATTTCGTTTAGCACCTCTAGAAAACCCCTCAATAAAAAGTTTTGTTTCAATTTAAATTTATCGATTTTTGACCCCTCATTTGATTGAAACGGCTATAATTAAAAAATGGCTAAAAGGATTATAATGTCCAACAGATAATTAACGTTAAAATTCAACCCCTTTTAAGTCATATTCATAATTGCGTTCTGTGAATAAAGTCTCACTTCCGTTCACTTACGCTCAATGCTCCTTCGTATAGGTCTTAGTTTCTTAATTCCCTAAGGATTAGGATTTACTGTCCATACAGATTTTCGGAAGAGAATCGAGGACCTGTAAGTTTCGCTCGAGGCACAAAATGAATGCTGTCAAGTTTTTTCCTTGATTATAATTAAGAAATAACTATTCTTATGTATTTTCCGTAAATAAATTTCTGTATAATCGAATTTACAGGTTGCTGGGATTCAGAAGAGCGATGCCAGTGACTGGACGGACGCTAAATATAACGACTGAAATTTATCAGATTGCGGATGAAGAGCTGCTTAGAACGTGGTTCATCTCCCCTTCTAACAACATGTGAGTACTTTTATCTAATTCCACAAATTTCACTAAAAAATTATTCCGTCAATTGCAGGTGTTTTCACGGAAAGTGCTCTTACTACTGCGATACAAGCCACGCGATTTGTGGTAACCCGGACACCCTCGAAGGCTCTTTCGCCGCCTACCTCCCTCCGAAGAATATCGGCGCGAGAAAAGTATGGAAACACCCTTGGAGGCGTTCTTATCATAAAAGAAGAAAAGCACAATGGGAGCAAGGTGATTATCATTTATGCACCTAACTGTCAAATCTACTAGATGCCAAAAACCAATCTATACCTCCATTCATTATACAAAACACACTAAAGGGGCGTCGGAGGCCGCAACGGTTTAGGCGTTGATACGGCGCTCATCACTGTAAGGTAAAGGTCCCGGGTTCGAATGCAGGGCCGCTGGATTCGAACCCAGGACCTTTACCTTACAAATGAGCTTTTTTTCAAAAACACCGGCACCCTGAGGGTTGATATGACCTCTGCTATGGCGAACCCTCGTTAAAAAAAAATATATAATTAATATAATTGACAATGATTTAAATTACTTGCTATTAAAAAATAAAATCAAATCATATTTCTTCATTGTTCATTGGTTAATCACTTTCAACATGATATTCTGACCTTAAAAAGCACGATTTCTGAAATTATTATAATTTTTGATAATTAAATATAAAAAGTGCGTTTAATGATTATTTGGAGATCGTGAGATGCGGTCTGGTGTGACGTAGGTTTTGAAAAATATTTTCTTTATCATGCCGACGTTTCGATCTTTATTGAGATCATCTTTAGGGCCTGGGCTTTATAAGCATTGTTTTAATTATACAAATACACGTAGAATGTGGAAAAAATTGAATTTATACAATCAAAATATGAATCTGTATAATTTAAACAATGTTTAAAAATCTCATGTCCTGAAGATGATCTCACTAAAGATCGAAACGTTGGTACGATAAAGAAAATGTTTTTCTAAACCTACGTCACACCAGACCGCATCTCACAATCTCCAAATAATCATCAACTAACGGTCACTAAACACCACACACAAAAAAGAATGCGTTTAATCACGACCAATTTTGAAATATCTCTCAACTGATCTGTTTTTCCATCAAATCGAGGGAAATGACGTGTCTTTTTGTTAAAGGTTTTACAAATATTAGTAGTAATAGCGCAAATATTAAATTAATTCGAATGCTAAACACAGCGAGAGAGTTTGTATTCTAGGATGTATCTTTGGTAATGCAATATATTGACAAATCAAACAACATGTTCAAACCTTCCTACTGAAATCCAGAGCCCTGAACGACGTGTTTCAAATATTTACAACTCGTATATTAGACATACATATACTGTTTCTACACGGCGTGGAGTGAAGAAAAAAACCGTATCTTATATATAAAATGTACTGTGTGTTTTCATAGGTTCCATATATCATTTCTTTTTATAGAACTTGTACTATATAAACTAAAAATGTATATTGTTAGACGGAAGGTTGTTTGCCAGAATGAATTTTGACTCTCTCCTATGCATATTAACGTTGAATGACCTGTCAACCCAAATCGATCTTCGTTAAAGACCGCTTTTGAAACAGTGTTTACTTCCAGAGTCTGATTACTGCAACCTTGTAAAAGGTCTCGCGCCGTACAACACCGGCCGTCGCCTGCTGGACCTGATGGACATGTCAGTCCTGGATTTTCTAACGGGGAACATGGACCGGCACCACTACGAGACATTCAAGGTGTTCGGAAACGACACCTACCCATTGCATTTGGACCATGGCCGGGGTTTCGGAAGGCCTTACCACGACGAGCTGTCGATTCTCGCTCCTCTTCTCCAATGTTGCCTCATCAGGGATTCGACCTTGAAAAGACTTCTCGCGTAAGTATGTTTTTTACAAGACAAATCCGACTTTCTAAAGGTTTATTAAGATGTATTTGTAGTCACGGTAGCTAAAGTGGTGGAGCAGCGGCGTATTTAGCCGAAAGTCGTGGGTTCGAATCCCGCCTGTGACACAAATTTTTCATTTCGAAAGAATTGTGTATAATTAATTGAGTATTTATATATAATTAAGCATAAGCTGATAAAATAATAAAAAAGTTAGTATGTATATGCTTACATACAGTTTGATGCATTATTCGACTCGCCATAGGAAAAATTATGCATCTCTTTTTAAATGGATTTTGGTGCTATTTCTTTAATTTTTTTAAATAAAACTCATCACCACACGATTAAATAGCATGGTGTAATTTTAGTAAAAGAGATTTGTTTGTAAACATTGAATGAAAACATGGGCTGTGGGTTTGTAATATTGAATTTGAATCCATGGCATTGTTTTCATCCATCACTCCAGTCAGGAGAAAGTTGCGTAGATGAAGCAATATTAAGATGTAATCTGGTCGTTGCCTATGGTTTTGGTACGCCAATCCTCGCTCCTGTTCAGCGTTGCAACATCTTTTGTTGATAGCCTATGTGATTTATATCATGGTCATATCAAAATAAATAATCGGTAACCACATTCATCACCCCAACAACAGGAAGAAAAAGGTTGCTCTCTGTGTCCCATCTAATTGACTTTACTAACTCCTTGGCCCTATATAGCGACCCTGTAGCTGTGCCTCCCGATATGAGAAGATTGTGCTTGAGTAAGGCGAGTATTTAGGGAACTTGTTCCCATTTTAAAAAGTAAGAAAGTTTTTTTTACCGTATACCCATTGTGTTGTACATTTATAGATATCTCGTGTCTTGTGTTTCTTTGTGTATAGTGAGACAGAATATATTTATTAGCGAAATGTGAAGTGTGAGAGGGCCGATGGGGGAATATTGAGTACCTATCGATTCTCAATTATATTAATTATCAAGTTCTCACCACCCTAGCTGAATGAATGTTATGTAAATAGGAATGAATGTATTTAAGAATGAGTGAGAGTGTGGAGTGGGCTTGGATATGGATATGCTAGTATCTGGGTTCACTGAAACCATCAACGTTTTTTATTGTATACAAAACTGATAGTTTTGTACACATCCTGGCGTGTGTTTAGAGTGGATGTATTTATTGGCGTTAATAAGAGGGGGGTGATGGTGTTATATTTCGTACCGTTGGTGGAGAGAAAAAAAATCAAAAGTTCACTGGCATAAATATGACTTTTATTAATCTCAAGACTCTGCACAACGGACGTATCGATATACACTTCAACTATGGGTATGGCTAGATAGTCTGTGTGATGCAGTGTTTTTCCTATGGTAAATCGAAAACTGCACCACCTTTTATTTAATGTATTTAATGTAAAAAACATAAGAAGGTATAAGATCTATTGATACGAATTATAGTAAGAAATCAGAAAATAATTGATATAATTAAATATACAGGGTGTTCTTTCTTGATGGCCCGGCTAAATTTCTCTTAAAAGCAATGATTCTATTAAAAAAATATGTGTTTAATTTTTTAGTCCATTTTCATATGTTTACCTTTTTTAGAGAGAAATTATACAGGGTACCTCAGGCCGAGTTCAACTTCAAAATTTCAAATACGACCCGACACATCCTGAAACCCCATTTTAAAGGATTTTGTAACCTTAAAACAATGATGCAATCGGATTTTAAATTGGTCAAAAAATGATAAAGTTTGAGGGGAAAAACACATTTCGTTTATTTCTTTGTTGCCTACTTAACGTAAATATGCAAATATTTGCTCTTTTAACCACCCTTCACCGGTGCTCAGAACGATGGAGTCAGGGAAGATGGATTGTCAAACATTTTCTATCCTTTGCCGCATTTCTTCAACTGAAGTTGCTGGGTTATGATAACGTAGACACTGTTTTTTAAATGGCCTCACAGAAAAGAGTCAAGAGGAGTTAAATAGGGTGAGCGAAGAGGCCGACAGATCGGGCCATGAGGTCCCATCCACCTATCTCGGAAGTGATGATTCAAATATCGTTTCACCCGCAAAGCATTGTGTGTGGGGCAGCCATCAAGTTCATTCTTTGTCGTTGTTGCAGAGGAAAACCACCTAATAGTGTTGGTAAAACCTCCCTAAAAAAATTAAAGGACTGAGCATTATTATTACGAAATTATTTTCATCATTCAATTAGTTTCATTTTTACGAAAGTATTTTCGTAAAAATAAGGCCCAATTAATTTATTTCCGAGAAGCCCAAACAAAACGTTGATACTGTTAACCACCTGATGATGACAAGAGTACAAAATTCTCGAGGCTTCCTCTCCCCACGTTCGAAAATTCGAACGGTTTAGCCATTAGAGGTGAACTTGGATTCGTCAGTCAATAGGATGTATGGAAGAACTTCTTTCTTCGGCCTCCCAAATCGACATTTGTGCAAGAAACGTTAGACATATCAGGGTCCCGAAGCCCTGGACAAGTTGAGAGCGATACGGCTTAAAATTGTAAGTCAGGGGAGTACAAAATACACTTTTATACCACTCCCAAAGAAACCTAATGCAAAAAGTTGTAAGGAATACCGGACAGTCAGTTTGATGAGTCACATGCTGAAGTTATTTTTAAAAGTCCTACCGAAAAAGCTAGTGTCACGAACGGGATTCGAACCCAAGAACTTTGGCTCAATACGCCGCTGCTCTAAGCACTTGAGCTATCGTGTCATTCGTTTACTTTAGTGAAGAAGCAAATTATTGGAATTAACAACGAAACAAACGAAATGCATTATTTTTCAAACTCTTTGTCTTAACTTTGTCATGTTTTGACCAATGTAAAATCCAAACATTGTTTTCTACGTGAAAAAACCTTTAAAATGATGTGTCAGGATGTATAGGGTCGTGTTTGAAATGTTGAAGTTGAACTGGGTCTGAGATACCCTGTATATTTTTTCTCCAAAAAAAGTAAAAATTTGCAACTAGATTAAAAAATATTAAAAATGTCTTTTTTGTTTTTTTGATAGCGTCATTGGTTTAAGAGAAATTCATCCAGGCCATCTAAAAATGACACCCTTTATAAAACGCCTAAACATCTCTAAATTTGCTATACGACGAATTTATCAAGATTTGATGTTATCTGTGTGTATCAAAATACCATAGTAAAAACGATGTTGCGTAAAATTGGAATCGCTGCGTGTACATTACTGGGTTAATGGTTTTGCCCTTTCCATAAAATTGTATTTTTGTACGTGCAAACCGTATTAGAAGTTACAAGCCGCGTCGACGCTTTAATGGGAATGGTCCCGCACCTTGTTTTCCGATGTAATTGACCTCATCTTCCCTCGTAATGTGCCGTATGCATTAAAACATTTTTGCATTTGCCCCAGTCCTGACTCTGTCCATTTCTGACACACTAAACGACTGAATCTTCCTAATGTATATCTGCCGAAAGGACTGCTCAATATTATATCGTCCTCTTGGTTGTGGGGTGTACTAAACCTGGGAAATATATTGTGAAAAAGCTTACGTTGAATAACATGTTATACGGCCTTAATCTATGTAATATAGAAACGAGTGGCAGGTATGGATGGAAAATAAGCAAAACGTTTACAAATCGAGGTCATACAGGGAAACGATCTACATGTCCAAACTGAACAGTTAGATTGTATTGATTTGTTTCTGGTGAGAGCGTTTCGATATAATGCTATCTATTTAATTCGATAAATGGTATCTTACAAAAAAGACACCGCAATAACTGTGAATTACGCACAGAATGCCTTAATGATTACGATGCTGGATCATCGCAGTCTGGTAACCATAGGATCGTCTAACATGAGACGGTCGGCTATGATCGTATGAGTGTAGACTGTAGAGTAGAAACAAGTAGGGAGGCAGGATTTCAATTAGCTTCCTCCTCGAGGGACGATACATAATTCAGAGCCGTTCAAAGCCGCCGACCATTAGACCTGATACAACATTGATGGATCTTTTCAATAGAAGGCCGTCCGTCTCGGCTGGGGAAGGGACTCTCACTTTTGTCGACGGCATCCCGTCCCGCGTTAACCTCCGACAACATTCAAAATACATTTTGACACAATTTGCATTGTCTGGTTTTGTACCAACTCCAGGTCTCTTACATTTTAAGGTGCCGCTTGTGATTTATTGTTTCTCCCTTATTGTTACTGCTCTTACTTTCTCAATACGACTTTTACAAATGTATATTTTTTTACATTTACACTCCGAAACTCATGTTTTTAACTTATAATAGGTAAATTAGGCGTATATTTTTATTTTTATTTTACACAATAATTGTGTAAACCTACAATTATTTGTTCTACGAAGTGCAGTGATCGACCTCAAAATACGGCGAAGTGCCACGTCTGACAAACGAACAAGTGAAATTACGCAGATCGGGATTTATTTCAGCCGTCACTTCAAATTATTTGATGATTTTATTTAATTAGTTTTTTGGTATTTTTTAAACTTTATTGAGAAATGCACATTACAGTTGTGATCGTACACTAAATACACTGACAGGCAAAACGTTCCACCAAATTGATTTTTTTATTTTCTCGATAAAAGAAAATTCTGCCCAATAATTGTTGTCTCATTGTTTTTATTCATAAATACCTACTTAATTCGATAAATGGTATCTTACAAAAAAGACACCGCAATAACTGTGAATTGCGCACAGAATGCCTTAATGATTAAGCTGCTGGAACTAATGCTATGTTTATTATGATGTTTATCTGTGTTTTATATTGGGAATATCAATTATGGGTAATCGAGCTTAATCCTTAATCTAAAATAAGGATGAAGGAGTTTTCAATGTTTTACATCTTACGGAATTTAAAATGTTTGTTCAGTCTCAATCGAATTCTGAAGAAATAAACTGTTTAGTTTTCGTCTTTGTTTGATTAATTTCTCTTTTTAAACTTAAAAATGCCACTTAGTGCTGAGGATGTCGCGCGTGGTGTGGCACTTATTGATGATGGACGTTTCATTGCGGCTATTGCCATCGGAGTTCCCTACGAAACTCTGCGAGACGCCGTTAGACTTTCCGAGAAACTGGCTCCTACCATAGAAAGCCCGGTTCTGGACGCCCTAGGATAACAGAACCACGGGATGATCATTTTTTGACTTTGAGAAATTGGCGAAACCGGCACCTTATTGTTCAAGCTTTTCATCAGCTCCAGGAAGTTCGAGTGTCCAAATTTTTGAATGCACTTTTGAAGAAGATTAAATCAGTATGGACTGATGGCTTTTCGCCCCGTAAGAGGACCATAATTGATCAGAACGTACAGAATTCCATGGCATTTGCTCGAGAACACAACCATGGTCTTTGGATTGGTCGGGTGTACGTTTTACAGATGAATGTAGATTTGCTCTAGATCTCCAGATGAGCGTGAAAGAGTGTGGTAATAAATGAAAGGTACGAAGCCTGTAATTTTTTCCAGAGCCAACCTTTTCAACTTAGCTCAGCGATGGACGAGAATTTCAATGAAGAGCTACCAGAGTTGTATGTGTTCGTGGATGGTCTTTGACGATCACTCGCTATGTGAATGAAATTTTTGAACATCATGCGTTGCCTATCATCGATTAAATCAGCGACAACCTATTCTAATGCACGATAATGCCCGTCCACGTGTCGCTCGCATAGTACAACCTACCATCAACAGCATAACTTTAGGGTCTTAGCCTGGCCAGCCAGTTCTCCAGAGTTGAACCTATTCGAACATTCATGGGAATTCTTAAAAGACGAATAAGAGCACGTCCATCACTTCCTGATACACCCCACGATCATGAAAGGATTCTTCGTGAAGAAAGGGTTAACCTCCAGCAAAGAGACATTTCCATATTGTAGAAAATATGCCGAGGTTTCTTCGAGATATAATTAAGGCAAGAGGAGGAAATACGCGATATTGAAATGTTAATTAAAAATCTAAAATAACATTAAAACAAATCTTATCTGTTCGTCTTTATTATTTTTTTTTTTCATTTTCATTAGCAATTTCCATTTTTTATTGTTTTGTTAGACAAAGACTCAATTATTAAACGTTAAAACTCGTGAAACTTGGATTAATACATAAAAATATATATAAAAATATACGCGGTAGCCGAGTGGTTAGCATGAGAGACTCTCACGCCGCGGTCGTGGGTTCGATTCCCACGGTCTCCTCTGGCTCTTTTTTCCCGATAACCCCCAATTTGAAACAACATATATAAGGATTCGTCATGGCTAATATGCAAAGATCATAAGGCAAAAAAAACAACTTATGAATCAGATGCCAATGACTACAAGGTGCAAACGTATTGCAAGATAGTTTTCATGATCATTATGTAAATGAGAGATGCTTCTCGAGGAGAGGAATGGTTTTACTGACGAGGAAATGTTTCAGTGCGTAAGTCGATGTGGGTGTAACCGTAGATATCGCACCGATATTGTAGATGCGAGTTCTCACTGGAACAAAATTGTTTCATTTGACACGAGGCGACGGTAAGTTAATTGGACTAATTGTAACTTCGTTGGGTTCAATTTTACTTTTAATTGCTGACGCTGTTCGCGAATTCCTGTAGCACGGAATGTGCTTCTTCCCTGGTATCTTGTTTTGACAATATGGCGACATGATCAGTAAAATGGGTTGTTTGTAAACGCGTATTTGTTGGGAAATTTCTTGAAAATAGAAGACAGAGAACTGCCTTGAAGTACTCCCGATTTAATTTCCAAAGACTGAGAATAGGCTTCTCTATAGCGCACTGAATATTTTCGTTTCCTAAGATAAGATTGAAATGTGCGGTGGTAAAGATGGGGCTTCAGTTTTAAGCCTCATAAGCCTGGGTGCCACTCTATGTTAAATGCCTTTTAAGTGTCTATGAACAGTCCTAGGCAGACTTTCTTCTCCTCGACCAAGTGTAACAGAACAAAAGCATTATGGATATGGATCATCCGATCCGTCTGCCAGAAGTCATTGGTTTACAAATATATATGCAGTTTAGAGAAGAAAGAGAGAAGAATAGAAAAAAAGTGATAAAAGAGAGAAAAGACAACCAAGTGTAACATGAGCTTTGGTAGAAAGACTGTTTATGTCATCTTTCCTTTTTTCCTGGATTGGCGATCATGTTGGCGGTTGCTTACATTTCTATGGGAAGTAGGTTGGACGAAAGATGGCAATATAAATTTATGTCAGGAACACCTTTACGGGGAAGGTGCTGTTGGACTAAGAAGTCTTGGCTGGGAGCTTTTTTTATGGCGTTCATGACCTCTTTGGGGGTAAATAAGGAAGAGAAAAGCGATTAATTTATTATTTAATCGCTTGTATAAAAAGTACATCTTACACTATTGAACTTTCGCCCCGAAGGGTTGTCACTTTCTATTTTAAATAATTCAACCAACTGTTAATGATCTGCATAACAAAGAATCTTTAAACTATTTTAGGTTGCTAGTCGTTCAAACGTTGCAAATTTAACGATTAATTCAAAGGGCGTTAACTTTATCGGATTCTCGAACTTTTGGATAAAAAAATAGAGGAGCGAGGCCAAAAACCAGTTCCTTCTATAAAACCTTCTTGGTATATAATTTACAACGCATTCTCCAATATCTCAGGAGTTTATCTTGGTCGTAAAACCGCCTTGAGTCCGCGGCCGTCCGCTTTATCGGGTGCGTCCCTTCGATTCCGACTCTGGAAGCTCCTTGCTTCCCCCACGTTGTAAATATTCGAGGAGCATTACTCCAGGTAGGACACACTGTCCATTATGGGATTTGTACAAATAAAACCCTTTAGGGACGCATTACAATTCTTATCTTTCTGCAAATATTTGCTTTTAGTGCCGGAGATTTCATCCCTTACCCTAAAAGACACCTTATCTTGCTGTTTAGGGATGAATAATAGCTGGCACCTGTACGAACATTCTACGTTTAATTCTCTAAAATTTACTTAATAAAGGGAAACCTTCTCCTCCACAACGAAGAAATAGCGAAAAAATCGATTCACAGCAAGTAGCTTTGATTTCAAGGTACAAAATTAATATGCGAGGTGCCGGACATGACCAGCCTTTTTCTTTTTCTTTTTTCGATCAGCGGTGAAAAAAATAAGTTCAAAAATAAAAGGAGTGTGTAGATTTGTTTTTATCAATGGTCATCTTTGATGGATTAAGTCTGGGTTTTTGATTTGATCCACTAGGTAATTTTCAGTCATTTATCTTTTCAGTTTCTATGATGTAAATTGTGTTAATAATCTATTTATGTTTGGTCTAATTGACCAAATTACTTCTTTCAATTAATTATTCTTTTCTCGTAAGGTCTTAGTTGATATGAGCAAAGTAGATCTATTCAGGTCGAGGAGCCGAGGCCTTGTGGCCGCCTCTTTTATCCCTATCCCTTGATTGAGATGAAAAAGAGTCACGAGCGGGATTCGAACCCAGACGTTCGGCTCAATTCGCCGCTGCTCTAACCATTTGAGCTATCGTGATTTCGATACACTCGGACATCAAATCCCCATCATAACCTTTCAAATAATCCCTCTTTAGCCGAATGGGTCGTGGGGGAAAATCGCAAAAAAGAGTATAATTCGAAAGGTTGTAGGTTGGTTTCCGACTATTAATATTAAATATAAACAAAAGTTTTAAAAAATTAGGTTTATTAAATAAACAATATAAACATACATTTTTATATTGTTTTGGAATTATAGTTGTTTGAATCAGATATTCCAATAACGACTTCTCAAAAATCAGAAAATTTTATGATCTTGTTTACTTGAAAAATATGGGTCTTTAGAAATTTTTGGGTATTGATAAACTTGAATAGCTATTACTATATTTTTATTGCAGTCTACATTAAAAAACCTACATTGAAAAATGTCAAAAAGGAGGGAAAATTCGAAAGGTAGGTTGAGAGGGGGAGCTTGTGTCCGTGTGTGAGGAAACACGATAGGTCAAGTGGTTAGAGCTTGAGACGGTCGTGGGTTCGAATCCCGCTCGTGACACTAGCTTTTTCATCTCAACCAAGAACTTACATAAAAAGAATAATTAATTGAAAATGTATAAATAATGTTTGAAGAGTTTTATTGATTTGTGTATTCAATCCAATTTTTCATGTAGAATGTGTTGTGTTTGTACATTTCTAGGTTCAGTGCATTTTTCATCCTTTTTTAATACATTTTTAGCCGTCATTTTATGATTCACTTTAAATTAATTAATTAATTAATTAATATATAAATTAATATATAACTATATAAAATATATATAATATTAATACATAAATTTATATATTATATATAAAAAATTAACTAATTAAATAAACGTATTTTATTTTTATGTCGTAAATAAAATTATATCGGTTCAATAAAATAATAAAATAGTTTTAATATTTTACATTGACGTCGATTTAATTTTTTTTTAATTAATTTGATTAGATAGCAACATTAACACGTGGAAGCACATTTCAGCATTATATTGAAACCCGCGCAAGGGAAAATGCAAGGTCATGCAGTTTTGAATAATATAAGGCAAAAGCAAGAGCGAGCATTGAATCCTTCAATGAACTGACATGCGTCTGTCGCGGTTTCGAGGACATTATAAATTGAACGTAATTTAACCTTTCAGCTTTTCATGAGTACTGACATTTCGACAAATCTAAAAGCGAAAGATAGATTTTCAATTTTGAAAGTTTAGAAATACGGCTATTTTGTTTTCTTTAGCTTAAATATCACCAAAATTAGATTTTGTTTTAACAACAATTAGATACCCTCAGGTTTGGAAGGTGCATCGTCGTACGTAAGCGCGGTGATAATCGTCCTATAAATGTTTCCCGTGTCATTTTCGCCAAATTTGGGCCATTGAAATTAAAATCTCTTCATCTTTTACATGCTTTGGGTTAATTAAAAAGCGTTTCGTTTCAGATTCCACAACGGAGAGAAGAAATTGAGCGAGCTGATGCGGGATTCGATGTCAGTCGACCCGGTGAACCCGGTCCTTTGGGAGCCCCACTTCGCCGCCATGGACCGCAGGGTGAACATCATCCTCCAAGCCGTCAGAGACTGCCTTTCGAAGAGTTCCTCCAACGACTCGGAACTTCCGCAGAGCATCGTCGTCGAGATGCCCGGCTCCTCGGGGAAAAACTGACCTGGCAGGCGGCAGGGCGAAGCGGACAGTCGTCTTCCACCTTTCCGACTACGCCTCGCAACAATTTTCCACCGTTTTGAAATTTTGATTAATCCGAGTACTTAAAATTGTCATCGCTTCGCCCTTTCCCGCCGACTCTGGTCATCTTGATAAGACTTAAACGGAGAGAGTATTTTTTTCTGCAAATCGATTTAACCGTGCCTATGTCACAATCGGTCAATTACCCTGGATGTGACGGACTCTTTTTTTATATGAATCAATTATTTTGTAAGAATTTGAAATTTAGGAAATGTGGCCCTTCATTTCTTTATCTCTCCCGATCATTTTTTTGTTAAATGAGACAATTTGAAAAATAATTTCGTGAAACCGCGCACGAATTTTTAAAGTGAAGATCTAAAAACACACATTGAAGTTCGTCCGCCGATGTATTTATTATTTTTTTCTTCTTGTTCCGTTTTGTACGTTAAAGCACGTGAATAAAAGCACAACGGTGCCTGGAATGAAGAAAATGTTTTAACTAGCTGACAATCGTTCCACTGGTCTTCGCTCGATTCCCTTCGGCCACTGGAGTGAATCGAAGTACTTAAGCTCATTTATCTAACCAGATTATATTTAAACCTTTTATTCCAAAAACACCGGTTGTGTTTTAAAGAGGTTTTTAACAATCCTATAAGTCATATTTTATTATTCAGAAGGTTGCTGTCGATTTCGTGCTTTAACGTTTTTAACATTTAGGAAACATGAAGCCGATTTAATTTTCTCTTTTTATTTGTGTCTTTTTTTAAGTTAAATTTATTAATTAAAAATGTATAAAATTGGTTAATCGCATTTATCTTCGCATTAATGACGCCGAAATATAAATTTCTAAACAATATTATACGTAAGCATGTAAACCCCATTTTCTTCTTGTGAATTGACTTCGACCGGGGAGCTTTTTAATCTTAAAACACGATTGTTCCGCCGAATCTGTTGATATAATTTTCAAGTTGAGAAAACAGTTAGTTACCTAAGATATGCCAAAAAAAGTTAAGTGTTTAATTTGTGAAAATAATATCGATTAATTCAAAATTTAAAGTCCGGTCCAGTTTGTAAAAAAAAAGTTATAAAGTAATATTGGGTAATAACTATTTTTGTATTGTTGAATGCTGTGATGTAAACTTTTGTCACCTATTTTTTTATTATCAATATTTCTTTGCGAATTTTGATTAGAAACGAATTTATCCCGTTTTTCCTTTTTGAATTGACAAAATATAAAAATTTGTTTATTTGGGAACAAAATCTGGTTGTTTTAGACGCGTTCTCTTGTTTATCTGATAAAGTTTAAAGTTGTTAAATGAATATTTATGTATATAAATAGGAAAAAAAAGTGCCAGTGTGAGTGTTGTAATTACGTGTATATATTATGTATTTTGGGTTCGTTGTATATACATATGTATATGGACAAAGGAAAACGGTGTCTAGATGTGTACATATACACCCTTCTAGTCAAATAGAAACTGTTTCGAAATTAAGGGTATATTACTTTAAAATACAATTCAATAAAAAGAGATTTATTTATTTAAGCTCCTTTACCTGTTTAGCTCGCAGTGATCAAAGGTAAGGGAAAGTAATCTTTAAATCTTAATTGAGTTTGTATTAAATGTGCTTGCTTAAAAATTTAGTGACGTAATAGCCTTTCGTGGAATGTATAAAATCCCTTGCCGGTGAAAATGGCATTAAAGGGAAAACCATTTCCTCAAGGGAAAACCAGAGATTATTCAGATTTCAATTCATTTAAAATATCTGTGCCATCCTTTCGAAATAATCTGAATACTCTTTAAGAAACAAAATTGAACAAAGATTCGAAACCTAGGAAAGGATCGTGCTCCCTCAGAGACGTTACCATGTACTAAAGATGAAATCGCATTTCGAAGTTTCAAGATGAACGATTTAGAACAAATTATATTAAGTCACGATGGCTCAAGTGGTAGAGCAGCGGCGTATTTAGCCGAAGGTCGTGGGTTTGAATCCCGCTCGTGAGCTTTTTCATTTCAACCAATACCTTACATAAACATTAATTAATTAAAAGAAGTTATTTGGCCAATCGTACCACGAAAAATAATGGATGGAACAAAATATATTTTTCAATCGCATTTGGATCAAGACGGTTTTACATGGCATTTTATATTACTTACGCCATCATAATCTAATGCAAAAGTGTGTTAATATTAAAAATTCTATTTACCTTGTTTGTATTCATTTTAAAAACGGTCTCAAACGAAAGCTATCTCGGATGTGAACAGCTGCCAAAAGCTCGTCGATCTCAACGGGAAAGTCGTCGCTTCTGTGAGATTTGTGACTTTTTCTGAATGAATACAGAATGATCTTCCTTTAAAATTTGCCTTTAATCTCAAAACAAGCTGAGAATAAATTTTATATAAAAATAAACCCGGCACGTCGAAAACGGCAGTGGGTCAAATATTTACGAAGAACATTTTATTGCCGGTGTGTTTATTGAGGACGTTTGCCACTTGAATATGCAGCGCATGCTACATCGTTCCCCTTCCTTTCTCGGCATTTAGTGAAATATTAAAAATTCATCAATGTCCAGAATCGAAATTTTCCTATTTTAGAAATTCAGCTTTCTCGTTTAGGAATATAGATAATTACTTCCTGACAATATAACGCATAACGTGAGATGGGGTCTGGTGTGACGTAGTTTTAGAAAAACATTTTCTTTATCGTGCTAACTTTCGATCTTTATATCGATCATCTTCAGGGCTCAAAGTGTTTGTTTTCTGTTTAGATGTGTCATTCTTGTGTGTCGTGTTGAGAGAGCCCCCCACGACACACAAGAATGACACATCTAAATAGAAAACAAGCACTTGGAACCCTAAAGATGATATCAATAAAGATCGAAACGTTCGCACGATAAGGAAAACGTTTTTCTAAAACCTACGTCATACCAGACCGCTTCTCACGATCTCCAAACAATCGTTAGCCATTATTTATGGATGTGTTATTTATGGGTCGGAAAAGTGGTCATGCAGGCCCTCTGAACTTTATACGAAAATTCTTCTTTTTTTTCGCCCATCTTTGTCACTGCCTGTCATATTTTGTCTCCTGTTTTCTTAATTTAGTAACCGTCTGTGCCTTTGTTCGTTTCCCGCTCCTAAACCATAAACTGGCCCTTTTCAACCTCTTGGCTTGCATTTCTATAAAGCTTTTTGGCCTACAGACGGAAGCTGTAATGTTTCCTATATCTATTAGACGGTCGCTCTACTCAACCTGGCGAGCTCTTTGTCAGTTTTATTGTAATTACTGCGTGCGTGCGAAGGTTTAGCTGTCATTTCTTTCATTATAGTCTTTTCGGTTATGTCTACCATCCTTTGTGTTTCATATCGCTTTTCCATATCTTTTGTGTTGTGTTGAAACCCGCCCGAGTGGCAATCGCTGTTCTTAGGGCCTCCATGCTCGATGTTTCCTCGTTTATCTCGAAGAGCCAGTGTACACCTGGAACGATGTGGTTTTCGCATCTTAGTAAGACGTGTTCAGCCGTTTCTTCCTCCCCGCACTCACACATTGGGATGGTAACGTGCGAACGACATGTGGATTAGAACCATTATCGCGCATTAGAATAGGATTGTCGCTGATTTCATCGAGGATACACATAGCGAGTAGCGGTCAAAGACCCTCCTACTCTGTGCGATTCTCCATTGAAATTCCCGGCCATACCATCACTGAGCAACGTTGAAAAGATTGGCTCAGGGAAAAATTACAGGCTTCGTACCTTTCATTTCGCCTTCACCTCACTTTTTCATGTCATTCGAAGATCGTAGAGCAAATCTACACTCATCTGTAAAACGTACACCCGACCAATCGTCCAAAGACCAACAGCTGGTTTCTCGACCAGATACGAGCCGTGCATCTAGGTGTATTCTGATCCTCTTAAGGGCGAAAAGCCATCAGTCCATTCTGCGAGAAGTGCGATCAAAAATTTGGGCATCTCGAACTTCCTTGAGCTGATGGTAGCTTCTATGGTAGGACCCAGTTTTTCAAAAACATATAAGAGCGTCACGCCGAGTTTCGTAGGAGTTGGATGGAACGTCCATCATCAATAAGTGCCACACCACGCGCAACATCCTCAGGACTAAGTCGCGTTTTTAAGTTTAAAATTTGAAATTAAGAAAACAAAGAAGAAAATTAAACAGTTTATTATTTCAGAATTCAAATGAGACTGAATTTTTGAAAGACATTTTAAATTCTGTAAAAAGTCACCATTGAAAAATCCTTTATCCTAGTTTTGGATTAAGGATTAAGCGTGTTTACCGCTAATCAATATTCCCAATTTAAAACATAGCATAAACAAATATTTATTGGTAAAAACAATGAGACAAATTAAGGTCAGAATTTTCTTTTATCGAGAAAATGAAAAAACAAAAACAATTGGGTGGAATTTTTGCCTGTCAGTGTATGTCTCTCGGCCTTGTCATATCGTGGAGCTATGAGTAATTCTCTCATTAGGGTGGCCATATACTGTTATTTAGTTTTCATCCCTCTTGATATTCTTCTTTGCTTATTTTAATCATTGTTATTGTCACCTTACATTACAGAATGGTGGAGAGAGATTAGTCGGTATTATATTTTTCAGACGGCAAATAATACGTATACAAAACAGCAGCACAATATTTTATTTCTTGAATTTATTTTTGAAAAATTTCCATAGCTAATAAATATGCACAAACATTTTTAAGATCGTAGTTTGTTGTGAATATGTGTGAAAAATGGAGCTGCTTTAAAAATGAGGAAGGAAGTCTGGAGTTTATCCGCCTGTAAATTTGATTCATGTATTGGGACGATCCCGGCTCTCGAGGAATTGTTCACCCTTTTATTTATATCGGGGGGAGAGAGAGAGAGAGAGAGTGAGAGAGAGAGAGAGAGAGAGCACCTTGTACCCCTCAACACAAAACTGCACGGGATAAATCATTGTTGAAATTGTCAGCTATAAAAGAGGGCCGGAGGCGCAAGTTGGGTGTCCACTATAACAGGAGTTTCGTATTGTTATCCAATCTAAACTTGTATTGCCTCCCTTCCGGAGTTGCCACTATAAAAGAGCCGGAGGCTCTCCTCTTCCGTTCGCTATTAGCTCTAGACCGGACTTTCTATTACACCGCATTCTAGACAGGACGGATCTAAAGAGGTGTCCCACCTTTTTTATACCACTTGGAAATGGAGTTTGAATCGTTATCGGCCAACTTTACTAGTTACAATCCGTGAACCACGTCACGGCTTGTATTTCGACTACCATTTTTTATCCGCTCGCAAAAAATACGCGCTATTCAGAATCCTCATTTTCCTATCACAAGGGGCACACAGTTCGAGGCTTTGAGATGAAAATTGTAAGTCGTTCGTGCTGAGAGTAGTTTTGTTTTGTTACAATCGTACATGTATATTTTTTATATTGTGGTACCCGCTTCTGTGAAGTGGGGCGAAAAACCAAAAATATTTCTTTTTTACTCTCTACAGATTGTAGTCAGGAGAGAAAATTATGCATACAAAAACTACTTTTACTAAATTCATTTGATTTCGTAGTCCGATTGACCAAATAACATCTTTCAATTAATTCTCTTTATGAAAGGTATTAAGACACTATAGCTTAAGTGGTAGAGCAGCGGCGTATTTAGCCGAGGGTCGTGGGTTCGAATCCCGCTCGTGATACTGACTTTTTTATCTCAACCAATACCTTTCATAAAGAATACTTTTACTGTTAAAAGTTATTTAACTTTTTAAAACGAATGTAAATTTTCATTTATTTATAAAGTCGTTATTTGCTTCAACATGCAGATGTACATATGCAATGGAAGCATCCATTGGTAAGTTTGTATGAATTTTATTGCATATAAAAAAGTTAGATAAATGAATTTATTTTTGCTTGGATATCCCCTTGCAACTCTATTATCCTCCTAAAGCATTTTCTCCATCAGACATACGACACACTATTAAACCAATCGAGTCTGGCACTTGCTTTGGAAATTGAAATCCCTCATACGTGCTACCTCATACTGAGATCTATAACTGAATTCTCACCTAATATACGGATTAGGGCAGGTGTTCCTCAGGGAAGCATACTCGGCCCATTTCTATTTTCCCCCCCTCAATTAACACTCAACACTTACAACAGAACCTGAATGATTAACAGTATGGTTCACAAAGTGGGTGAAGATAAACCTAATGAAAAGCGTACAGGTAAATTTTACCTTACGTAAAAATATCTGTCCAGTGAGTATAAATAGAATCACATTGGTTGCCAATGACCTTGTGCGTTATCTTGGGGCTTTTCATGGAAAAACGACTGTCTTGGAATCCCCACACAAGACTAAAAAGACAACAAGCAAACCGACGTTATAAAGTACTAAAAAGACTACTTGACCCACGATCAAAGTTAAAGATTGAAAACAAACATTTAATTTACACGACAATGACCTCTCTGGGCGTACGGTTGTGAAGTGTGGGGCTCAACCAAGGATTCCAATTCCCAACGCTCCTTTTTATGTTTCAAATTACACTATC